GAGAGAGAGAGAGAGAGAGAGAGAGAGAGAGAGAGGGAGAGAGAGAGGAAGACAGAGAGAGAGGGAGAGAGAGAGAGAGGGAGGGAGGATGAGAGAAATGATTGCTATCACAAAAGCATATACATGGAAGTCGAATGGACTGATACATTGCTTATAATTTTAATAGGCATTATTTGTACTGTGGAGTCCTCTTAAACTGGATTAAGTTAATCCAAAAACAGTGAAAAGACGAAAGAAAATAAATCTCTGCTTTTTTTCTTCCTTCTTTGTCTTTATAAGAGAACTACCGATTAGCAGAAATGCTCCCATTACTAAACTGAAAAGAATTTCGAGGGTTATGTCATCAAAATCTTCACTAACAACCCTCAAGTAATGCAAACCATCGAGTCATATGCACTTAAAGACAGTGAAACAGAAGAAAGATACACGAAAATGCAAGTCTTTCCATTGCAGGCCAGAGAGAGGCATCACCAGTGTACAGTTGTAAGCTGTCAAAATGGTTTTTTTCATTTTTGGCGCCAAATTTTCAAATTTACTAAATGAAAAGCCAGATCAATTACTCTACTTTTGTGAAACAATCAAATTAAAACTGTGGCTAGTTTTTAAAAAATAAATTAGAATTCAAATTTTGATAGAATGTTTTTTAAAAATAGTTATGCTGACAAGAAGCCTCTATATCTCGAAATTGGTGTGAATAAAAAAAGGCGTTTTGTCAGCTTACGGCAGTGTACCATTTGCCTACATGGTATCAAGCACATTGTTAGGCCTACACAGTGTGTGTAGGCCAAGTGACACAAGGATAGCAAATGAACATCTGCCGTGCGGACCTTCAGTTGGGCATGCACCACTGCCTGTGCAAAGAGGGTTCACATGGGTCCTATATAGGCCTATTATGAGCATGTGATGGCAAGTAATGTGTTTCATGACGTCACTGGCATAGATAGGGCTTTCTTTCTCACATCTTAATCTACTCTTTCATCTGTTCTGTGTCACTGTTTGACTGATTAAGCAAGCCGACAGTATCGAAAGGAAAGCAAAATATGATGCGTTCAGCCTGTAGCTCAAATAGCAATTACTGAAAGAGGTAGATAAAAACTTTCAAAAAAGAAACTAACTGCAAACATGACATGCCCAAATCTATGCTGTCGACAATCATTGCTATTTCAGCAACTGAAAATCCAGCTAAAAGGAAGAAAATCCGGTGGCCCTGCAGATTTTTGTTCAAACGGACTCCACTGTAGTTATTAAAAAATGTTCGATATCACTGGATACATTGACAATAGCAAAGTACACAGCAAACAGGAGAATAAAATAGTCCAAAAAAATTTGTTCTTATGACAAATGAAAATATTATGTACATGATAAGGGCTGCATCAGAAGTCTTCACACTGTCCATGAAAATAAGTCACAGAAATTTTTAACTTAAGTTGTTACATTATATCACAAGGAGATTGAAAACATTAAAACAAAATGAATTCTGATCACTCCCACCCACAACCTTTCCAATACACTTAATACTTTATAATACTCCCCTTAATGAACTTACATCCTCTGAAAATAGTTTTCACGTAAAAATGGAAATAAGTTGAAGATAGTAGTAAAGTCTATTGTAGATTCCAGGAAAATCCAAAGATGTATCGTATACTGAATTTAGGGTGTTCCACCATGTACATGAGTACTTGTTCCTTGATTTGTTGTAATAACTTTTACAATATCTTAAAATAAACTCTTGAGATTTAAAAAACCCACAATTTTCCTGAACTAAAGATCTCTACAACTTCAATTCCATTAACTTATTTTATTTGAAAAATGCAGAAAAATGGTATGAATCCGAGGTACCCCTATAGTTCTATATGTAGTCATTTTTGTCCAATTACTCTCCTTGTAGCTTCATAGTCTAAGTAAAGACTTAGGATGCAACCCTCAAAACTTGGAAAAAAAAACAGCATGACATTTATTTATAGGTCTATTCCTTTGTTTTACAAGGAAGCAGTATTAATTCTAACACTTAACATTCATAGCAAACAAAAATCAATATGTTCATGTTTACTTAAAGCCTTCTAGAAAGAAGGCAAACTGTTATCGTCATTACGGGGTCATTTTTTCGATTCCATTCTCCACAGTGGGCAATGGGTGTGCAACCTCCAACAATCTTTTCCTCGGTATACCCATGTCATGTAGAGCATGTAGAGGAGTATCACTTCCCAAGGGGCTTACATCTCTAACAAAAGTTGAAGGAAGCATTGTTATGCCAACATTTGATTGAGTAGGAGTCACAGAAATGCCCTCTAATTCAAGAAGGTCAAATTGGTCTACTTGTGAATATGAACTACCTTGCTGTGAGAGAAGATCAAATTCACTTATAACTGAATTTTCACGAACTTGAACAATGGCTTGTTCTGGAACAGTATCATACAATTCAGTAAAATTGCTTGATACATCCACTGAAGTTGGAAATGAATTTTGAACTGCCTGCTCATTGCTACTTCCATAACAAAGAACATTAGTATTTTCATGACTCGTTTCATTCTGCAAGAAAGTCCTAATCTTATTAATTTCGTCCAAGTCAGTATCATTCCAATTACTCTCAGAGATATCATCAGGAGCCTTCTGTTCAAGAACTTCTTGGAGTAAGCCCAGAGCAAGCTCAGAGTTGTCATTCCTTTTCTTTTTGAGTAGCCCTTCCACATACGTCTTCATGTTGAAATCATTCGTTCTTTCCAGTTCAGGTAAATGAACAAGAAACGAGTTATCCTCATCCACAGCTGAAGATATACAGAAACAGCTATTAGGGGGGTTCTTTCAAAAGGATAGAGAAAGGTTCAAACCTGAAAATTGAAGCATGTGATAAAAATTTTACAAGAAGCAGGAATAAAAAACCCCCCAGATGCTTTAAAAGATGTTTAATATCAGATGATCCTGTTCTAATGGCCACCCATCCAAGACAATA